ATGGACAAATCCCAGAAATATCAACAACAGACGTGTCAACAAAGACATTACCTACACATAGATCTATATATGCCACTTCGCCATACCAACGACGCAACAGTAAAGAATAAACACGATGTCCGTAATAATACTTGATTAATGACAAAACGATGCAATAGTCATACTATTGATAATTTACAAGGATATTATGCAACAGTCCCTTTTATAAAAGTAAAAAGTTGTTTATAATAAAATAGGAAATATTTAGTTAACGCTGACCCAAACCGATCAATTGGAAGAATAGCATGTACCAAGAATGTCTTACATGTCAAAATTAGTTTTGTTTACACTAATACTTGTCTAAATTTCGTTATCTTTTGTCTGTTGGCGTTTGGCGAAAATTCCTTGAAAAACATCTTAAATTTGTGTTCTGAGAAAAAGTGCTTTAAAATGACGGCCTGCTGATCTTTCTGGTTATCTGTCAGCGTTACTTAATGTGCTTTTCTTCTACATACAAATTCTGAATGTTATACTAAAACTCTAAAGATGCTATTCAATACTAGGTTTCAATAAATAAGCATATATATAAAAAAAATCATAACTTAGTCGACATTCAAGTTCTAATATTTGAGGAAAAATACCAAAAGTTGTTTCTTTTTAACGTTTCCTTAGTTTAATATCTTAAAACAAGGCTGGTTACTGTATTCTGCAATTAATGTCGAGACAATTTAATTTAAATTTGATAATGACAAAGTGTGAATCAACCGTTTAAAGGAAATTCCCAACATCAAGTACCGTTCTCGAAAGCTCTGGGCCTTACCGCACAATAAGAGACAGCTGGGCTCATTGAAACTACAAAGATAGGATAAATGACATGCCGAAAGGGACTAGTCCCAGGAACAAGGGTACAGTTGCACACGGGTTTTTCCCTATTGTGGTTTTTGCAATGGCAATTGGGGAATAACTAAATTAAGTATTGAAAAAAATAAAAATTAATTATGTAATATGAAAATATGTAGACTGTAGACGGAAACGCTAAAAAAAGGTGACCTCGATGTACATATCCTAATCAACTTGCGGATGTCGTTAAATACGATCAGGATAAAAGTAACACCAATAAATGCGCGGTTATGGAAAGACTTATACGATTGGAGGAAGCTAAACACATAGGTCCGTCCGTAGTCTTTGCCTACCCAACGGGAGATAAGTGTAAAATACGTATGTATGCATGTGTGGTGGTGGCTAAAACTCCCACCAAGCGTGGTGGTGTGGAAGCAGTGGCCTTACGGCAATGAAATGTTCTAACTTGGGCGACACCCGCTATTAAAGTATAAGAAATTTCTTCCGGAAAATAGAGATAATGTGAATCAAACAAGTTGTATTTGAATAGTTGATTATAAGAACTTCTTAGGAGATTCTTCAACAATGAATACCAAGACATAACTTTTAATTGCATAATTATCTTTCAACGAGACATCCTAAAATTAAAACAAAACAAGCCGTTTCTACCAGATACCTTACTGAAACATTTTCAATATAGGACCAATTACAGTATTTAGATGCCGGTTTCTAAAAGAACGCTGATTAAAAATCCAATCATGGGTCGAAATAATCGGTATTACCGGTAATTGGGCTTTTAGCTTCACTAGCGGGATCGATTCGCCGTCGGCACGTTGTCGTCCCGCGCGTGTTTTGTTTGGGTGGTACGGAGCGGCAACGTCGCATGAATATGACGAAAACTTTTGGGGCTTCTTTCCTCTCGAGAAAATGTGCTAAAATAAATAAAAAGTAACTGACACATCGAAAACATTGCAAGTAACGTAGTAGAGATAATTAGCGTGTAATGGCATTTTATTTTTAAAAATACTTGAAATTAAATAAGTAAGATCTACTTATCAGTGGGTTACCTTTTTGTTCTCTGTTAGTGGCGGAGACTTCGACTCGAAAGTCGGTAATCCACTGTCCTTAATATGGATTATCGCTAAAATAAATATTGTATTGAGTTGCCTATTCATGAATTACCGACAATTATAATTACACATTTTATTTATTTATTTACTTATTTATTCATCGATTAATCTCAGTGTTAGTTTCAAAACAGAAACACTACCGTGTTTGGCGTCCGTTTTTTAAATTAGTAGACAATAAATGGCACTACAATATTTTGTGGCAACACCAAAGTTTTTACTTTTGCTTCTTAAGCCTTTTGGTTAAAGGATGTAAATCAAAAAGAAAGGAAAAATTAACTGGAGAGCTAACTTGTTCAATTACTACTAAAGAGTTGATTATTATCATTATTAAATAAATGTCATAATAAATTATAAAGTGAATAGGATTCTTTAACAGAAGGAGTACCTACACCATCATTAATTTCAATAAAAAGAAACAGTTAAATTGCTAATTTATCGGCTGTCACCAATGCTGTCACACAGTTGTGACACCTAGCTGTATAGTGGCAAAATTGCAACTTACGCTCTTTACCATCAAGACGAGAATATCTACCTTTCTCACTTGCACCTGGGCTTTGCTAATTACACTCTTTCATAATTCGATCTCAATTGGTTTGACCTGCCAAATAAATTCGTGTAATTGAAACCATACATAATTGGATATTTTTCATAGGAGTGCAAGAGACGGTTGATCAGTTTCACATGGTGATGCAGTCTGCCTCGTCGGAAAAAGTAGACAGGCGTTTTATATGGGAAACTAAGTGTTGAACTTATTGTATTAGCGTGTTATAGGTATTATCTTAAGTTAGTTACTTAATTCGAAATTTACCATGAATTTTTCGGTGAAGAAAAGCATAGCGATAATTCTGGGATTCTATAGAATACCTAGTCATTCTATCGCCGACAAGAATTTTCAAAAGTGTTCAAAATATGGCATTGGTTTATATGACTGTTTTTGATCCTATTTGAATACGTATATAATTTTTTTTGCGATATTTCTTTATTTGGCTCTAGTTTGGAATTATATTTAGTATCGGGCATTTCAACCCGGCGCGACCTAAACGCAATAATTATTACGTTTAGGCCTCACCAGTCGCAATTCCGGGCACAGTATGTACACAATGTTCGATCGATGTTTACCTAAAACTGACATACGTTTTCCATTTGAGATTGACATTACACATTAACCTTTTTCTTTTGCTTATTTGCAACTTTTAAATCCAATTTGAAATTAAATTAAATTTCAATGACTCGAAATATATTTATTTCTTCCTCTTTGTCTAGAAAAATATGTGTGCCACCAAAAATCCTTAAAACCAAATGGCAACAGCAGTTCGTCAGGGTCACGCCGGTCATTTTATACGGCTAAATACGTGGCGTTTGCCACCTGCGGCGTGAACGAGCATCGAAGAGTTAGGTGCGTCGTGCCGGTTATTTTAACACCCCCACGGTCGCAATAGGTAGATGAGATGCCGGTCATTTTGACTTGCCACTGCGATGAACGTGTTAAAGTTAATCGTAAGTAGACGGCTTCCAAAAATAGTATCGCTTATGACTCGTGTCAGAAGAAGCCACAACAGCATCCTAAAAATGGTTGCAGGCAGATTTGATTGTCTAATTCCAAATACTGGGTTGGGAAAATCAAAACTGTTTTCATATAATATTAAATAAATATTATGCTGTGTCGTTGTGTTCTGTATACTAATCCATTCTAAGTGAAAATGTTACTAACATATTATATGGGTCTATGCCTGAAATAAATAATTGTATTCTATTCTATTTACGCAATGTATATTTAATGTGTTTAATACTCTTACAATAATAACGCATAGAATGATAGTTTCATATCAAACGAACTGTCACAATTGAGGCAAAAATCAAATTCATGTAGGCTAGTTTTAGTAGTGGGTTAATTTTTGGTTTTAGTGTATATTTATATAGAAATACAAGTTGAAACGCGCTACTTCCTTGTGGAATATGATGTTAGTATCTATTTTATGTTTGTCTGACGTATTTTTACACTCATTTACCGCACATTTCGTCATTTTTAGCTAAAATTCTTGATCTGTTCGCGGTGCAAGTTGACCTTGAGCACTGAATGCCCGCCCGCTCGTGTGGGCCCATTGGGCGCGCTTCAATTTGCCTCACTTAGCGTGTGCGGACGAGGTTTCTATGCGTTATTATTCTAAGTTTATACTATTATACACATTCCCTAAGCACTGTATAGAATACCTAGGTAATGTATAGAACGCCAGTCGAAGATTTGCTAAATGTGAGCATTTCGGCGTCGTTGTTGCGGTCTTGAAGGGTAAGGGTGTTGAAATTACAGACGTGTCGCTTACCACCAGGCGCACGATTTGATCGTCGCCGTTGTTGTTGGTATCATAAAAAAATCATGGAAACTTTAAAAACTCGATCGATAGATACTTTAATGGTAAGCTTAGACAAATAAAATACAGTTTTATTAAACTGAAATAATTTTTTTTATTACGATTATACTTTCCTATCTACATACAAGTAAATGTATCGCTAAGAACTAAACACGAAATATATAATTATTTAATTGGAACATGATACATTATTTTTTTTTAATTTATGTAAAAAATAGTACCTACTTCCACGTCTAAATAACAACACCAAGAATATCAAATACCTATAGAACGTTATTATTCTCTAGTTGTAAATGTAAATCAAATAATCTCGCATTTAAACTAGTAATAGAACATTGCTACATTGCAACATAAAAAAAGAATTAAAAAAACTGCATTTTTTATCTAAAATAATTTTAAAAAATTTTTTACGGGACCCATGGTCACGGCTGACTGCCATTAGTCAAAACAAATAAGCAGTACGCGATTTAGATCTAAACAAAATAGTTTCATTTAAAATGTGACAGTAATAATTAAACCCTAAGAACACAATAATACAAAAGAAGATGGCGGCAAATTGTTGCGCAGTCTGTTGAAATTATTTGTTCAAAAAAATATACCCTAAATACACCAAAACCACACCATAGTATTTATTACAAGTATTTAAACTCCACACAAACGTAGCAG